ATATTTAGATACCAAAATCAATGGGGGCTTGGAGGTAGAAGCTTAAATGTCTTTAATGATCTGGCCCTTACCCTCGCAGTGCCTCATTTCCCCAGCTCTAGCACAAGCCTGGACTCGTGTTGGTGACTGAGCAGTGCTGGGCTTTGCTGTACCCCCCCGGGGCCAGGCACCCCACCAGCACCCCGACACCCGCTGCTTCCATGGGCTTGTCACCTCACCCCACTGCACCTCTGCCCCCCCTTTTCGGGAGGGGATGGAGAGTGTCTCTGGGCACTGTTTTAACATGCACGGGCTGATCTTGAGGGATTTGGAAATTATCCCGAAACAAGTACTAAGAGACACTATAAAAATATATAAAAATATGATTACCAACATAATAATAATAGCATGTTAATAGTAGCTACTGTGGAAATGCAGATTTACTGATAACCCTGAGAAAGCCTGGTGTCGGTACACAACAGCTCCAGACGATACAAAGCCTCCCCAAGCCTCCTGCCTCCTAAACATTGAATATATGTTACTCCTACAAAATAGCAATTATTGATGCATTCATCCTAGGTGCAAAGCTGGTGTCACAGCCAGCTCCAGGGCCCCACACCAGGGAAAACCTCCCCCTGGGTTTGCATCCGCAGCCCCCGGCTCCGTGGAGGAGTCACGGACCCGGATCAGGGCTGGGGGATGCTCTGGGGAAGAGAGGTCTGTGTTTACCTTTACAGCAGAGAGAGGAAAAGAGGGAGTAGGAGGAAAACACATAGTAGAGCCTTGAAAAGATCTCCTTTTTTTAGGGCAGATGAGGGAAGCTTTGGGGCTGGGGCTGTGCTAGCCAGTTTGTGTTTGACCCAGCTGGTTTTTCTTGGCGTTGCTGCCAGAGGCAGAAGGCTTATTGATCCCTGCTTCCAGCGATGCACATCGGGAGAGCCCCGGGTGCCGGGGGTAATGTATAGCTGCCCTGCCACGGGCAGCAGAGATGCCATAACTCAGGAGCAGCCGGAGCCCGCCTGACTTATGGCTCTGTCCTGCACCAGCGATAGGTCTGCAATAACTTACTGCCGGCTGCGAGGATGGGATTTGGTTTATTTGGCACAGGGGAGAGGTAGAAGGGGAAGGGGTGTCTCCTCTTTGGCTCCAGGGAAAGGGCTGCAGGCAGCATTTCTGAGCACCTCCGGGGTTTACAGCTCCATCAGGCTGCCTGAGGGACCTGCTGTTATGTCCTTAAATCATTAAAGAATGGTATTAACCGTGACACCAAAAACAATTCCCACATATGAGTAATGAGCCCCCAGGACGTGTGGGTGCTCCTTACCCAGCAGCTCCCGTCCCCACCAGGAGGTATCAAAGCCAGGCTTGGCTTGGTCGATGCCTGGGAGGAAGAAGAGGAGGAAACTGCTGCTGGGAAGGGATCCTGTCTAAAGCAACCCTGCACCGGGGACTGGGGGCATCACGTCCTGCCCTCCAAGCCTTCCCAAGTGGGTGTAGGACGTGCCTGGTCCCAGCACAGCCTGGAAAGGGTCTTGTGTCAGGCTCTGGGTGATGTTGCAGGTGGGAAACCTCTCAGAGGCACCAGGGCCTTGGTTCATCCCAATCCATGGGAGCTAAGGCTTGGCTGAGTATGGCTTGCCCAAGCTTAGCCCTCCGAATCTACTGCTGCTCTGTAAGACTGCTTAGAGCTGCTCCCCAAAGAGCTAATGTTGTGTCTTAAGGGATAAGAAGGGGAATGTGAAGCTCCTTACAACGCTACACGTGTAACTGGCTGGAGGTAAAAAAATCATCCCGAGACCGCAAGCCGCTTCTCCAGCAAGAAAAGTTTTTAACCCCTTTGCACCAGGGGAATATGTTCCAGGTGACTTGAAGCGCAGGAGAGGCTTGAGAACTGCTGAAGCAGCAGAGAAAATAAATTAGTGCCATCTCGGCTAAAATCCCACACAATTAAAACCTGGATCAGGCTGTACTCATCTGCCTGAAGATAGCATCTCGAGAATGACGCGCATTAGTCATCAGCTGCAGCAGGTTCTGGCTGAGCGCATCGGAGGAGCCCCTTCACGGCGAGGTGTTAGACAGAGAAGGCTCCAGGCCACCCGGGGCCAACTTCTCCCTCCCCAGCAGCATGAGCCTGTGTCTGGAGCAGGGGGAAATGCCTGTCTCCATCTCCATCCCTCCCCTGCGTCGGAGGCAGCTCAGCCTGGCTATAAATGGATTTACAGAAACGCTTCTCCTCTTGCACCCAGAGCAGGTGGGGGAAATGCTGCCAACCTGGGCCAGCATCCCTCCTCTCTGCGAGGCAGAGAATGTCCCGTGTCACCAGGAGGTGACACCAGTGTCCCCATGCTGCAAATGGGAAGGGAAGGTCACTGAATAAGGGACCTGCCTGAGTTCACCCAGGGAGTCACCGGCAGAGGAAAAGAAACTCAATTAGTCTTAAGACCAAACGAGCACCTTTGAACTCCCTGTACTTGGAATGAGAAGTGATTAAATGACCAAGGCTTAACGGTGCTGTACGAGCTCCCACCAAGGTTTGGATGAAAGCCCTGTGCAGTTCATCTGGGTTCAGCTGTTTCTATGGAGTCTGCGGGTCGGTCCAGCTCCGAGCAAGGTCTCTGCAGCACCAGCTGCTCCCATCGACTGTGCTCTGGCAGCTGGGGAGGGAGCTACTGCCACCCCACCTTAAGACCAAACGAGCACCTTTGAACTCCCTGTACTTGGAATGAGAAGTGATTAAATGACCAAGGCTTAACGGTGCTGTACGAGCTCCCACCAAGGTTTGGATGAAAGCCCTGTGCGGTTCAGCTGGGTTCAGCTGTTTCTATGGAGTTTGAGGGTCGGTCCAGCTCCAAACAAGGTCTCTGCAGCACTGACTGCTCCCATCGACTGTGCTCTGCCAGCTGGGGAGGGAGCTACTGCCACCCCACCTCCCCCAGACCCGTGTTTAGGGGCAATGGGTGCCCAGAAAGCAGCCCCCAGGAGCTGTAGGGTGCTGCAGAGGGACCGAGCCAAGCACAGGAGAATCCACCCACAGCCACATGGCCAGGGCAGGCAAAGCTTTGCCTGTTCCTCCTCAAGCTGATGCCATACAGCAGCCTGGGGTGGGCTTGAGATGCCTCCTGCCCCATGGAAAGTGAGAGGCAGCTCTTCCCCCTTGCTCACAGTGATGTGGTCCAGTGGGAGGTGTCCCTGCACAGGGCAGGGGGGTTGGAGCTGGATGGTCTTGAAGGTCCCTTCCAACCCAAACCACACCATGAGTCTGTTTCAATGATCTGTGCACCCTGTGTTGCAGGCACACGAGGCTGGGGATGGGCACTGGATGGTTTGCAGTGGGTTGGTGTGGTTGGCCACCAGCTCAGCCCCTCTGCCCTGATGATGAGTGGGAGAAGAGGGTGCGAGGTGCTTGCCCTGCCAGCCCCACGGCATGGAGGGGGTTGCAAACCAGACAGAAACCCACCCCCTGTTCCCTCTAAGTACCCATGGTCCTGGCAGCAGCAGCAGGATGTGGGCATTGGCACAAAGGCCATCTGGAAGGGCTTCTCCAGCCAACGGGGAGCTCCATCATCTCAGGAGGGAAGTGGCTTTCATAGGGTGCTTATGGGGCTTTTGTGAAATGAAGCGGCATCACCCTGCGTGCCCCAGAATTCAGATGAAGCCTCACATTTCACCCCTTGCTGTTTGAGAAGCCACGAGGGGACCTCCCAGCTGAGACCCCTCTTTGCCTCTCAGTTCATGCTGCAAAGCGTTTAAACGAGGCTAACATTAAGCATGTGCTCCCATTAAATATCTGCATAAATGCTTTGCTGAATGGGGGCCAACGTGCCAGAACATCACCCATTTGGTTTGGGCACATGGGCAGGGATTTTATGTTATTGAAGTCCTGCCAATTAAATCAGGTCACTCCAATCTCTCCTCTTCTGCCTCCCTGGCTCTCTCTCTCTCTCGCCTGCCTGCGCGTCTGTTCCCCATCCCTGCGGTCCAGCCCCCCGCCCCAGGCAAATGCTCTGGGAATGAGCCAGGCCCCCAGCTCAGCTCAGGCTCCTGAGCATGAAATGGGGCTTCAATGGCCGCTGTCACTCCCGGGGAGTGTGGCATCCGCAGGGCTCCGACAGCCGCCGGATGGAGCTGGGAAAAGGCATTTCTGGGGAGCGGCTGCTGGAAAGCAAACAAAAGCTGGGGCTGCTCTGATGCCCCCACCCCAAACCCTGCCTTTGTCAGAGCCCCAGGACTGTCCCTGGCTCTGAGACACTTCCCTGTGTCACTTTGGGGTGAGGAGGGGGACGGGGTCTCCGTCTCTCACCTCTTAATATGGGTGACAGGCAACTGGGACCCCAAATCTCCCCCTCTGAGACACAGCAGAGCAGAAGGCAGCTTTTCCCCAGTGTTTTTCAAGGTGAAGAGTCTCTGAGCACCCCCTTCCAGAGGAGATGAGCCACCAGCAGCATGTCTTGCCTGGGGACCCAGCCAGAGGCAGAGGGGCAGGGGAAGGTGCTGCAAAACCCCACGGGGCTGCAGTGTCACCCGGGGGGGAGCGGGATGGGGTCGGTGCCCGGGGACCACAGGCAGCCAGATCATTCCAAAAGCAAATACAGCCCTTTGGGTGCTGGTGGACAGGAAGGGATTTGGGCCACAAATCCACCCCATCGACTCTCCTCCTTCCCTCCCAATGTGGGGCCCTGGGAGAACCCCCCCTGGGCTGGGTGACCCCCATGTCCCAACCCGTGGGGAGGGGACCCCGGTGCCGCAGAGGGAGCAGGATGCGCTGTGAAGCCGAGGGGGTGCCAGCAGCCAGGGCAGCCTTTGCAGGAGCTTTTTCTCTCTGATACTGGGGAGCATCACCCCAAGGGGGGTGAGGGGGGAGCCTGGGCTGCCCCTCGGAGCCGCAGGGGTTAAGCGCGCAGCCGGCAGGAGCTGATTCAGGTGGGTGGCACGTCCGTGGCGACAAGGCTCGAGTGAGGAGGAGGAGGAGGAGGAGGACTGGGAAAGGGAGGGGAGAAGAGAGGAGGAGGAGGAGGGAGCGTTTGCAGGCAGCGGGGAGCGGCGGGTGTGCGGGGAGAGGGCGATGGGCTCTTCCCGCTGAGGGCGAGAGTGGGGGGGCAGCCTGGCAGGGGTTGACCTGCTGTCCCCGTCCCCCCACCCCGGCAAGGGACAAGGACGGTTTCCCCCTTCTCCCCCCCAAAAAAAGCTTTGGCGGGTCCAAAGCCATCCCGGCTCTTTGTCTGGCGGCGGGGGGGGCTCTGCCCGAGCCAGATGTGCGGGCAGCTGTGGCGGGGAGCGGGCAGGCGGATGACAGCGACGCTGGGAGACGGGAGGAGAGTCCAAGGGTAAGTTGGGCTCCAGCCCCGGTAACCGGATTGTCTGTCGGTTGTGACTTTTCTTTTTTTTTTTTTTTTTTTGCGGGGGGGGGGGGCACATCGAGGAACAAAAATCTCCGCAGCTTTCAGACATCACAGCGAAACGCGATTTTCTGCCTCGCTTGTGCCCTTATACCTACAGGACCCATAGGTGCTTTTTTTTTTTTTTTTTTTTTTGGCGGGGCGGGGGAGGGTGGGCTTCTGTGCCTGGGGTCTCTGCAACACGGAGATGGCTGCCTGGCAGTTTGCTTGTTTGGAATTTCCACCCCCCTTCTCCCTCTTCCTTCCAGAGCTTTGCTTTCCCTGATCTCTGGCGTGGAGGATAAATGGAGTATTTGAAAAGAAAAGCAAGAAAAGCGGGTGAAAATGGGAAAGGGAAGCAGCATCCGTGCCTCGCCGGTGCGGGGTCCGGGGGGGGGGGCAAGGGGGAAAGGAGGGAAAGGAGATTTCCCTCGGCTCTGATGGTGGGAGCTGGATTCCTGGGTCTGGAAACTCCTCTGGGATCGAGTCGATCCTCGCCCAGGATGGGGGGGTAACCGTGGCGAACCCCCCCGACGATGCGCTGGAGCTGGTGCTGCTGAGACTGAATCCCAGCCTTGCGGAGGGAGAGGGCAGGATGCGATTCCAGGCAGGAGCAGCGCTGGCACTGCCTTTAACCCCTCTGTGCCTGGGCTGCGGTGGAAAACCTTCAAGGAGTGAAGTTGGGTGTAGAAAAAGATGCTGTAATAAATAAACCAGCCTGGTCCCTTGCTCTCCCTCTCTCCTTCCCCATCCTCCCCGCTCCGGGCTCAGCCCACCCAAAGGGAGAGGACAGGCTGCCCTGGGGGTGATGGCAAAGCAAACCCCGGGAGTCATTTTAATGATTTCTCTGCTGGTTTGGTGTTTACCTCAACCCTTCCAAGCCCTGCTCCTGTATGCAGCCCTCCCTGCCCTCCTCCCTGACGCAGCTACCCAGGACATGTCCCCCCCACCTGCAATCTCTGTGCTTGTACCCCTGTGCTGGGGTCCAGCACGTCCTCTCCCGCAGTGTGGGGTGCGTGGCTGAGCCCTGCCAGCCTGGGGAGCGATGGGGACCAGGGCTCCAGGGGGTCTGTGAGCAGGGAGGGACCCGCTGCAGGGACCCCAGGACCCTCCTGAGCTGACCTGGTCCGGGAAGGGTGCTCAGGGTTGGGAGGGACCCCAATGGCTCCGTGTGTGGCTGAGATATCGGCTGTCCTCGCCTCCCCCCGATGCTCAGGCAGGCTCTGAACCCTCCCCATCTCCTCTGCTTCCTGCCAAAGCCTGAAAAAAAAGGAGATTGGAGAGATCTCAGCAATGCTGTTGTCTCCCATGGGTGAGGAGGGGGTGAAGCCCTTTGCTCCCCAGGGCTTGTCCCAGCCTGGCAATGGGACCCCACCAGAGGGAAGGAGGGGGTGCTCCAGGCTGAGCACTGTGGGGTGGGAAAAGGACCCTTGGAGTGAGTGTTTCCAGGGAGGCTTTTGCTGGAAGCTGCAGGCAGGTGCTGCCATCACCTCTGGCCATGAGGATCTGGTTCCTCAAGCCACGATCTGTTGGTGTCTTACAGCAGGGACTGGAGTGCCAGTGCTGAGCCAGGACCCACAGCTCCTGCTGTTGCTTTGAGGAGGAGCAGCCCTGGTCCTGCAGCCTGGCCGCAGGCAGAGCTGGGAGCAGGGCTGGCAGGGAAACGTCTCATTTCTGTCTCTCAAATCCTGAGGGGGGTGCAGCCGTGGGGTGACGGGATGTGCCTCGGTGCAAGTTTCCTGGAGCATTGACTGCTCCTTGCCACGGGGCTTCTCCTCTTGGGGGTGCCCATCAGTTCCCGGGGTTCACGCCTGCGACGTGGGGGACCATCATCCAGCTCCCATCCTGGCTCCCTGTGGCAGAGGACCCCGGTCCTGCTGGTCCAGCATCTTTGCTGGGAACATGGCTCTTCCCAGTTCTCCTGGCTCTCCTTTCCCCCGGCGTCTGAGCGCTGCTGCCCCAGCACCCTGGGTCCCCTCTGGGGGTGGTGGGGGCTCGTTTGGCACCCCGTTGGCACTGGCGTGAGTGGCTGTGCAGCGCAGGGCTGAGGGCCAAATCTGGGGGTGAGTGTCTGCTCCTCAGCCATTTTAAAGCCTTTCCTTTGGGTGGGATCTTTTTTACCTTCTGCAATGGAAAACAAAGAGCTCAGCATCAGCTGCCGGGGGCTGAACCGTGCCAACACCCCATGGCAGAGCCTGCCCCATCCCTCTGGTGCAGGGGAAGGGGGTGGTGGGTTAGGCAGGACCCCGACCAAACCCATCCCACCTCGCTGGGGATGTCGGAGCATCGGGAAAGCACTTTCCCCACCGCGCTGTGATATTAAGCTGCGTTAATTGACTCTCCAGGGAGTCGGGGCAGCCCCTCTGCTCAGCCTTCAAAGAAGGTGCCGTGGAGGCTCCGGTTCCCAACGTGGAGCAGAGCTTTGGTGGCTCGTACCAGACGCAGCTCCTTCTGCCTCAGAGAGCCATTCTGGCTGACGGCAGCAGAGCGTCTGTCCCTGCTCCTCGCCGTAGCTGATCACTGCCATTTAGGGATGCGATCCGAAAATTCCCGGCTAGGACAGGGATGGAGGATGGTAGGAACCTCCAGATCTCGGTCCAGGTGGGCACCTGAAAGGCTGGGAACTTCACCAGGCTACCAGCTCCTCTCCAAAGGCAGGGGGGTCCAAAAAAACCCAGGGTGCTCTCCCTGTGTTTATCCCTAGCAGACGATGTATCTCCTAAATCACCTTCAGTCTAGACCCTGGTCACTAATGCCTCTTCCCTTCTGTCCCAAAAGCCACCCATGGGATAGTGTTCCAGTTGGCAGGTGCCTGATTCCCTAAAGAGTAGAAATGCCAGCCCAGGGCCCACGGGATGCCCTCCTCGCACACAGGAACTCGCCACCACCTTCCCTTCTTGCTCCGGCATCCTTTTTTGCCAGGATGCTGTTTCTTTGCCCAAGACGAGGTGTGAGGCCCCCGGCACTGACTGATGGTCGCTCTCCCTCTGCTCGACATGTGTGGGAGGTGCCCCTGACTTTGGTTCTCCTCCTGGAAATGAAATTATTGTTCTCAGGGAAGGGGGAGGAAATGCCCTCTCCTGTGCTCCGCATCGGAAGCTGCAGCTCTGCTCAGGGAAAGCCAGGAGAAGGAGAATTACGGCTGCTGCTGCTCGCTGGGAGTGCAGCAGGAAGCACATGAAAATTAGATGAGTTTAAAACTTCTCCTTAAGAAGGAAGATGGTCTCTGTCAATAAGGCTCTGCACTGGGATGCTGGGTTTGAGTTTAGGGTTTGGTCCTTGATGCTCTTGAGTCGTGAGCTCCTGGTGGAGCCCAGGGCATCTCCCCGTGTCCTCCTGTGCCCGCCCATGGCCATGTCCTGGCCACCATGGACTTCTCCACACTGGTCCCCACGCGTGTCCCTTCCAGCATCCCTCCTGCTCTGGAGCTGGGGGCAGCTGATGAAATGCCCAACACCGTTCCAGGACATCAGCCAGCTCACGGGCAGTGAAATATATGTGCAGGTTTAGCGGTTGTTGACGGCAGAGAGTATTTTGCCATAAATATACTTATAGCAGGCTTTGGAAAAGGCTGTTCCAATGGGTGCGTTTTAGGAAGGCAATAAATGGTTGAGAAAATTGCTCTGGTTGCACCTCGGAGCGGGGGGATGGCAGCCCCAGTAACTTTTTCCTGCCCCCCCTCCGTCCCCCCAGTCGTGGTGAGCACTTGGGGCTCCTCCATGTGGGAAATGGGGTCCCCCAAATAACACCAGCCCAATTGGGGAGGGTCGGGGGCCTGAGTCACCCCTGTCCCCCCTCCCAAAACGGCTGGAGCCCTCGCAGCTGGTGCTCCCTGGGAACTGTTTGCAAACACACTGCAGAGCAGGAATTATGTGTCGGGTCTGTTTGGCGTGTAATTCTGAATAACAAATAAATATGGGAAAATTGGGATCCGTTCCCAGACAATTCACAAAGGGCTTAATTGGGACTTAAGTGGTGCCTAAGTCTTGTGCTGGCTCTCTGCACTGGGGTGCTTTTCACCCAGACAGGGAAAAGAGACAAAGTTAGTCAATAAATTACTTGTGATAAATTATTCACCAACCCTACTCAGAATTAATGCCAGCTTCCCCCTCCAGCAGCTTATAAATGCTCTGATATCTCCTGACCCTATCCAGGCTCTGGAGCTACCCATTTGCTTTAAAAGCCCATCCCAGGTGCTATTATAAAACCATATTTTGTGGCATTTATAACCGGTCATAAAGAAATGGGGCCGAGATTAAACTTGGCGTGTGAGGTCGGAGCGTGACCGGCTTTGTCCTTCCTGTTGACCAAAGCAGAGTCTGTTTTCAGGTTCAAGCTGAGAAAATTGTTTTGCATGAAGACGAGCCACTGTGCTTCTGTGAGCCTTAATAACGCTGCCTTTGAATTGAAAAGCCTTCATCAGTGAGGAATTTGTAAAGAGCATAAAAGGGGAGGGGGGGATGTTGCATTTTAACCAACCTTTCCCAAAGGCAGAGAGGAACTAACTGCATCTCTCTGGTGCTGGGGGAAGAAAGCATCTTTGCCCCCAAACCCAAGAAAGCTCCTCTCTCTGCTCTGTCCCGTGTCCTATCAGGATCATATGGAGAGAGATCAACAGCCTGGAAAAATAGAGAAAAAAATAATAATAACACTAGCAGCTGCTCACCTGAAAAGGAAAAAAATGTTTTTTCTCCTATTTGTGAAACAAAAAAATGAACCAATATGGTTTGTGCTGGAAGAAGCCTTTCAATCGGGTGTCTGACGCTCGTTCATAGTGTGATTATTAAATTGAATTCAATGCTTTGGTTGTTCAACCCCCTCTTTGGCAATGCGTAATCAAAGCCGCTCACTTGACTTGAAAAGCCCATTTGGACTTTGGACACATTGGCCCAAAAAAGGGTCTGCAGCGTTTGATCCCAATTTGCAAATTGCTGCAGTTGATTGGGAGC